TTGATTGTTGCTCTCTTTTCTCAGTAATGTTTTGGTTTGTCTTTTGCATTCTTGTTATATTTAGAAGACATGATTTCTTCTTTTGTGAAAGTATTTTGTATTGCAAATCGTATGATATTAAATTCAGAATATTGTTATGATTTCTAATATTATTTTAATTGTTAAAAAAGAAAAAGAAAAAAATTACGGATGTTTTATAAAGTTGGCCATTTTAAACTTGTTTTTAATTTATAAGAATATAATGGTTTTAAATTTTAGTTTCTTTTATTATTATTTTAAATTTTAATATTTAATTTATAAAAATATATATTTATAGTGACAAATCTGAAATGGTATGTGAAAATTTTCAATATCCAGTATGTACTGTTCCAGTAATAAAATCGATACATATACCGTTAGGTATTAACAACTTTGATTGAAACCCAACCTTTTATTTTTTATTTTAGTCCATTGAAAAAACCCTGTCGTTTTACTATTTCCTCCTCTCGCCCTTCGAATTTCCAACTTTTGCAAAAGTAGTCCATTGACCTCTAATTTTATCATTTAGTCCCTGATAAAAACTGGGTTATTACATGTAGCATTAAATTTTTTGAAGTTGAGATGACATTCCATGCAACCTTAATCTACTTTTATTATACATATTTTCAATTAAATATTTTGGAGAGAGAGAAAGCTTATAGGGTGTGTTTGGAAAACTTTCATGGGAAATATCCTTTTCTAAGATTTTGTAAGGATATTTTGGTACTTACATCCCTAAAAATTGTAATAAATAAAGCATAAAAGTGTTATTTTTAGTTTTTGTTTTTTTGACATAATTTTCACCATATAAACTTTTGTTTCCGCATGTTTTTTAACGGAAAAAGTTTCCCATAACTTTTCCTATATCGAATTTTGTTAATAACTTTCCTTATACTTTCTTTATACTTTCTTTATTTCATTTCTTACCAAATACAACAAAATTAATAACTCAATAAAACTTTAACAAATATTCATTACAAAACTTAGGAAAATGGGAATAAGTACATTAAACGATATATTAAAATTTGAATGTTTCAAATTAAAAATTAAGTTTAGTAAAGTTGATCGGAGATAGTAACAAATTCTGAAAATTTGTTTTTATTTTTTAAAATTAAATTGATTAAATTTGTCCATTTAAATCTTTTTTCATATTTGCCATTTAGAGCTTTTTGTGAATTAAAACATTCAAAATGAATAATTACTAAAAATATTACTTTAAAATATATAGTTAATTATTGTTATAAAAACTTATAATTAATAAAAAAATTTTAAAAATATAGAGAGGAACTCCACTCTGCTCGTGGATAAAGTTCTACTTTTTACTATTATTGTTGTTGTTATTGTTGTTATTGTTGTTGGAGTGCTTACTTTATGCAATGTGGATTTAGTTGTTGTTGTTGTTGTTGTTGTTGGAGTGCTTACTTGATGCAATGTGGATTTAGAGTTATTGATGCAAATCTATTTGTGGATTTAGAGTTATATATTGATGCAAATCTATTTGAAGTTAAAAAATTGTAGGATAAGAGAAAGTGAATTGAAGAAAATTATTATCTTCTAGTAATTAAAATGTTAGGATTGATAATGAAAAAATTAAAATATTTTTAATTAATCAATATAAAAAAAATTTATTAATGATACCTAAATAATTTTATAAAAAATTTTAACATTTAAAGTATTAAGATATTAAGGGGGAAATAACAAACTCACCCGAATAAAGACAGAATGCGCTCACCATCTTTGAAGGACACTACTACAAAATATAAGCCTATGAAATGTAGGCCTCCTCAAAATAATACCAACTTGTTATTCAAAGAAACTTACGGGATATTTGGTGCAGTTTTTTTTTTTTTTTTTTGTATTATTTATGAGCAGTGTTTTGAAATTCGGATAGGACCAGCCGGTTCGACCGTCGCCCGCAGCATGAAACCGGCTAGGTTGACGCCGAGACCCATTTGGACGGTTGGCTCGTCCAAACTCGGAGAACTCATTTAACTCGTTTCGCCCAAACGACCTAGCAAACCCTCCGGGCGAATTGCTCCAAGCTGGACGACACCACCGACGCACGCTTTGCAAGTTTTTTTTTTTTTACCCACAGTTGGGGTTTCTAATTTCATTCCATTCTCAACTCTTCCAAGTTCCAACTCTCAACTCTTACCAGTTACCACAACCAAATAAAATCAGAAAACCCACATGTGCATTCATCATCCATCGTCCATCCGTAGATCGGGCAGTAGATCTTCATCATCCATCGTTCTCCTTCTTGGCTTGTCCACTCTCCAGTCTCCATTCTTCAGTCTCCATCTCTTTTCCGGCAAAGAAGAAACCACAAGGCAGTAGATCAGGCAGCAGATCGGCGTTCATCGTCTCTCCAGCATATCGGTAGTCAGCAGGCAACAGCAGGCAGCAATAGCAAGCAGCAGATCGACGTTCACCCACTAGCCTTGACCCACCACCACAGGCCTTCACCGTCCATCCGAAGGTGCTGCAGTTGAGTTGGACGAAATCTGTTTCTCCCCTGAAATAGAAATCGATTTTTTTTTTTTGAAATAGAAAAGCCCAAGATTGCAATTTGCCAAATTCTGGCAGTTTTTATTGACCCAGTTGGTCGGTCGGTTGAACCAATCAGATCGGTCAAATCGAAACCGATGAGTAAATCGGTTCAATCATCGATCTGGTTTTCAAAATCATGTTTATGAGTGATAAGTTTAAATTTATATTGAAGGGAAAATTTAAAAATTACTTTTAGAGATAAAAAAATGTGAATAAAAAGTAAGTAAAAAATTATAAAAAATTTAAAATTGAAACTTTTGATCTTTTACTGTTTAAGATCTTTTTAAAATTAAAAAAATATTTAAAAATGTAAGTTTTTAGGAGGAAAATTTAAACTTATGAAATATGAATAGTGTCAA